TATTGAACATGATATCATGTTCAACACAAGAAATAAATCTAGTATTTCCAAGCTCCAATGTATTTTGCTGTTTATTATATACACAAAATTCAGTGAAAAACAATAAAACGTCTGTGGCAATGCATTTTACAACAAATGATATTTTCACAAATAAAAAATATAGTATTTTTTGTGTGTGTTTAAATACGATTTTTCTCAGTGGCCAAAAACTCTATGTAACACTTATGTTTATACAATAAAAAGTGTTATTATCAGGCATCGTTTTACCTGCAGATCTGCAACTTTTTTCGTAGGAGCCGTCCTGATATTCCAGAGGTAACTGCATGGCTTTGGTGGCGATTTCCGTTCCCCTCCATCTCCCTCTTTAAAATGTGCCGAATTAGCCATGCCAAACTTCCTCTTGCTCACAGATGCCATCAGGGTTGACAACATACAAAGCTACATGTATAATAAAGCATGCATGTTAGTTTCAATTTTTTAACTAACAATCAATGTAAAAGATTTCGGATCTGAAACATGTATAATGCTTTGCAAGAAATTGTATGAAGCCACCTTACAAGCAAATAAACAAGGTAAGATTATAGTTTGTTGTAATGATGGCAGCGTAAGATAATTAATTTACCGTTTTATTCGTTTTAATTGCCCTGTTTCTTTTATTGGATCCGACGACTTCGACGATTTTTATGGCCGTAGATGTTTCTATATTGTCATTCACTTTGAAAATGCATTGGAAGCTTCCTTTTTCTTGCACAATGATAAATGAATGCCTTCCGTCCCTCTTTAATGGGTAACCCATCCTGAAACCAAGTGTAGTCAACTACCATAGTGCAATGGTGGTTGGAAACACAGCCAATTAGATGTCATTTGTCGTAGTCTGTCACCTCTTTAAGGAATGTGGCCTGTCAGTCATAACCCCTTGGTGGGCCTCTGTAACATGCACTTGTTCCAATTTTTCAATAATTATATACTGATCGCACTTACCTGTAGTTAATGATATCCTAATAAAAATAGGTTTTGTTATCCATCTTTAGATAAAAAATACAATGGATTTACATTTAAAAAATATTTGCATATAGTAGATTGTTAAAAAATTTACATCAATTAATTAGTTAATGAACAGGCCCTAGGGATGAACGAGTTCTTGTGCCTATCTGTATTTGATATTGTTTTGTTAAATTTAGGTTTACTTCTAAGATTATAGTTATGAATCTTTGGACTAGGTAAAAATACTCGACATGGGTGATTAGTGTCAGATTGAATTTTAAAAAGCTCTCTCTTAGTTGCTTCAACTCTTCTCTAAGGGTAGGTAGGTGGTTCTTTGGCAGGCCAATGATCTTCATACTTCTAGTTTGTATTTGTTCTATTTCATCTTCTAAGTATTTGTGGAGGCCTCCCCATACCGGGGATGCATATTCCAAGATAGGTCTTATTTTTTATATATATGTAGTGAGCCCAATTTCTACAGGGAGATTGGATCTACGGCATTCTCGTAGGTGGAATAACTTTTTACAGGCTTTGCGAACAGTCTGATAAACGTGTGTATTCCATTTAAGATTGTTCTGCTGCCATACTCCCAGTAATTTAAAAGTCTCAACTTGTGGATCTCGTCCTTATCAGGCGTTACTGCAAATTGACGAGAAAGTGGAATAATAAAATTCACTATTATTTTTAATTACCTGAAATATATTTCTTATATAGAAATGAACCTACCCTCCACATACTTTGATAAATATCCGAACGCCCATTTTACGCTCTTTAAAATACAGCTAACACCAAGGACACAAAAACCTTAAGGGCTGTTCATATGATCCCACTTACCGGGACGTCTTGTCTAGTGAGACGAATATTTTGGGGCATTCATATGGAGTGTTCAACATGAGCTACACCTTTGAATTTACTATACGAGTAAGTTGTTAAACATATCTGAATTTTTCAATATGATAAATTTGTGGCACATTTTGAAATTATCAATAGAATAAATCATAAAACCACAAGCATTAGACAAGAGTTTTTGTTATAAATGTAAAGGCACTAAAAGGGAGGCTGGCTGCGCTGGGGCACAGAGGATATACTACACAGAGGTGGAACTCAGCCAAAAAAGTGTAACCGGCCGCCAAAAGCTTAGCCAGTGTGCTAAAGAGAGGCATTCACCCCCCCGAACTCAAATTTCAAGATGGCGCCCGAGTGTTTCAGAAAATAATCGGCACGAGAAACGCTTGTTATTTTGCTCATAACAGTTTTCCTTTACTAAAGTTGTTGTTAACATGTTTATATAATTCTTCTTTCAAAGATGTGTTGGTATGAGAAACCATTGAAGATTATCTACCGATTTATATGGCACTATTAATCATCGTAGGAGTGGAAAATTGCGAAATTACTCGTGTCTCGCCAGTCTCGGTGTCTTTTATAATATATAATAAAGGAACAGATGAAATGTAAATGGTATAATAACTTTATTGCAGCTGGATTTCATAGTCTTTAATAATCAGTCAAGATTTCATATTGGAAACTATAGCAGTATGGCACCTGTTTATATAATTATATTAAACCATTTCACCATTTGGTCGTATTAAAGATATTTGAGTCACGATCGTTCTCAGCCAAAATACAACATTTTAAAACTGAAAATACGCGAAGTGGTTTAACTGGAAAATACTTATGATTTATATGTGGTTTACAGGTATAAACTATTATAAACTGGCCGTTGAGAAAGATCGTGACTCTATTTTCATGACCATATGGAAACCAGGCTTTAAAACAGTGATAAAAATCATAAAACGTAACTGTCAGATAGTTATCAGGCAGTTAAGGGGCCAATTACATGGAGCAATTGTGCAACCCTGGGATTGAACTCAGCCCTGTTAGCCGGGTTGGAATTGTTTGCGATTTCATGGACAATTTCTACCCTGTAGTTGAAATGCTATACATTCCCAGCCATTGATTCCTGGAAGTAAAAAGTGGCTCCATAATAAAGAGTCACTATTACACACGCTTGAATAATTCATGAAACTTTAAGTCCTGGATTGAAATGATCACATGAGAATGAGTTCAATTCAAGTTTGAAATTTCAACCCTGCTAGTTGAAACAGGGTTGAAATTTTCTCATGTAATCATGCTTTTGATTGTTTTGTATCGCAGACAGGGCTGAGTCCAACCCAGGGGTTGGAAATGTTCCATCTAATCGGCTCCTAAAGGGGCGGTCAAGTTGTCAATACATGTACTAAAGTTGACCACCATGTATAACACCTTGATGAAAACTAACAAATTATTGTTTATAAGGACCATATCTCTTTAATATTTAATTAAGTAGAATATAATTTATAAATATAGTACATAATATTGGATTGTAAAAATTGAAGAAAATTATAACATTCAAATAATGTAAACAATGTATCTTATCAGTCTAGAAAATTTAATCTTATAATATATCAACATTTACCAAATGTTCATATTTTACCACTATTTGTCTTCAGAAATGCATTTTTAAGTCAGTCAGGTTTTTTTACAGTTAAAAAAGGTTGTCCTTTGCAACCTTAAACTCTAAGGCCTGTTTTATACATCAAATTTCGGTCCCGTCGAATGCAATTCAAACAATAGATAATGAAGCTTAATGAGGTTTATCATCTCATCTATTGTCTTAATTGCATTCAACGCAACCAAAATTCAATGTGTAAAAAAGGCCTTAGCATGCAAAGCTTAATAGTTGAATATTGCAGGACAGGTTTCAAGCTATTCACAAATGAATTGTTTTCGGAAGGAGATATTTACCATGTCTCTAAGAAATGAGACCCATGTATGATTTGTAAACAGACTAATTTAAATGATGCTCCCATTATGCTTTGCATGCTTGGAGTTTAAGGTTTATAGGTTAACCCATTGACAATACTCTCGCCCTGAAGAGCAAAATCGTCTGGCATTAGAGAATAAAATAATAAAGTGGGGCACACTTCCACGCAAAGGGTCAAGGTTTACAAAGGACCTTTTTTTGAATGAGTTGTATTACTTGTATAGTAGATTAACTCTACCGCAATCAACCTTCCTAACTGCTAAGGAATTTAGGTCTATGTGATAACAACTCCATAGCAAAGCCTTTACCAGTATACCACTGACAAAAGGATTGCTTCACAAATTATTTTTTGTGGTCTTATTTTTTCATGACAGTAAATTGTGAAGACAGATTAATTTATAGTTTGGAGGACCTTTTTTGTGACTACTCTTCACCAAAATGAGATATTCAAAATACCTCCTACAGGACTACAAGGTAAAAATTATTTTGTAAACTCATTTGAAAACTCAAATGCCCCAAATGTGAACCCGAATCCCACTCTGGGGCTTAACAGTGATAGGTGCATAACCATACTGATAAAAGTACTGTACTTCTATGAAACAAAACTGAAGGCAGACAGTTGGAGGCTAGACAAGACAGATTCTTTAAGAGGGCCCTTACATACCAATGCAGAATCCAATGGCTATACTAGATCATTACAGGCAAGTGAGACAACAAAAGCCTGACATGTACGGATTCACTTCTCACTCTGACCTATTATAACCTCATCACTTCTACCTCTAGGGGAAGTAAAATTGTCACATACACACGTTATTCATTCCTTCTATAGACTATAGTACATATGGATAGATTTTTACAGGGTCGGTGAAAATGTCCAACTTTTATTGAACTTTAATGCACCCTCTTCCTCCACAACACATGCATCCATGCACAGACTTAAGTGATGGTTTACAATGAGGTTTTATCGAATTTGCTTTATCATTGTTGTATATTTTTGTAATTTAAATCCGTTATTTGGAAAATATATAAATGGAAAACTATTATTCAAAAATATTAATATGTGTTTAATTTAAAAATGAAAAAACTTTTCTTACCCTTCATTTCTTTTATATGAATATATTATATATAAAACATTCTTTATTTTCTTTATATATCAAAACTTTATAATATAAAACATTCAACATTCTTTATTTTCTCAACTCTCGTGCCTAAGATGGTTACCGGAAGTGAAACCGGAAGCAAAACCTGGCAAAACACACGTCATGAACTTGCCCCGCCAGAAGACAGCGGGAAATTTAAATGCCGTGTAAACAATTTAAATTTTTTACAAAACAAAACAAAACGCTTTGCATTGAAACAATGGAAATTGTGGGAAAAGAAAACCAAGGAAGGAAACTGTGGAAAGGGACAACTTGGTGATCCGCATCAAATTGCTTTAGCAATAAAATTTCAGACCCAACTATATCTTTTTTCCGTTTCCCAAACAACGACGATCGGTAAGATGACAAAATTATAAATAAATGTGTATTTTAAACGCAAAGTAGACACCTGCATAACATCGTTGATTTTTAACGTCTTTATTTGGAAAAATACCATCAAGGCTAAACGTATCACTTGTTCATAACTTATAAATATTATATATGTAAATACTTATTTTTTCATGTTTTTTTTATGTCTATCACTCTATAACTTATAAGCTGGTTTCTTAGTATGCTTTATATGTCAATGCTGCACCACAGAATAGGTATTATAGTCTCTACTCTGTTGCTGCATCCTTATATTTGCATACAAACAGATAACAGTATTTTACATAATCCCAATACAAATATTTTGATAAATTTTATATGTAACTTTTTCAACAATTTTAGTATGAAGCAGTGGGCATTGAATTGCCAAAGGGAGGACTTATTACACAAGGATGCTGTTTCGGTACATAAGAACTATAGATTATGTGCAAAACATTTTCAAGATTCCTGCTTCCGAAACCATTCGAGAAACAGATTAATAAAGACGGCAGTGCCTACAATATTTTCCTACAAACTAGGCATCAAGCGAAAACGTTTCCCAGATGAAACATCTGGTATGTGACATTTAACCAACTATACTACAGTATGACCATACTCACATACTATTATTGATTAGTAATTACTAAATACTATTTTTCAGATTGTGTAAGGCCATCAAAGTCCATTCCGGAATATTCAGCTGAAGCCCATGTCACATTGTCACCATTCTCTCTGAAAGGTACATTATCAAATATATCCCATCATCATGTCTTTTGAGATATATAAAGACTTTACATTTTCAACTATTTTGTTGCAGGTCAAACAGCACAATCAGGATCAGGAAGTGACTTGGGGTCAATGCATCAACAAATCACTATGAATGAAGGTATTCTATAAGTAACAATTAAGATGTCATGCATGATTGATACAGTTAATAATGTCAACAATTTACTCTAGATATACTCAACTATTTTGTTGCAGGTCAAACAGCACAATCAGGAACAGGAAGTGACTTGGGGTCAATGCATCAACAAATCACTATGAATGAAGGTATCCTATAAGTAACAATTAAGATGTCATGCATGATTGATACAGTTAATAATGTCAACAATTTACCCTAGATATACTCAACTATTTTGTTGCAGGTCAAACAGCACAATCAGGATCAGGAAGTGACTTGGGGTCAATGTATCAACAAATCACTATGAATGAAGGTATTCTATAAGTAACAATTAAGATGTCATGCATGATTGATACAGTTAATCATGTCAACAATTTACTCTAGATATACTCAACTATTTTGTTGCAGGTCAAACAGCACAATCAGGAACAGGAAGTGACTTGGGGTCAATGCATCAACAAATCACTATGAATGAAGATATCCTATAAGTAACAATTAAGATGTCATGCATGATTGATACAGTTAATTATGTCAACAATTTACCCTAGATATACTCAACTATTTTGTTGCAGGTCAAACAGCACAATCAGGATCAGGAAGTGACTTGGGGTCAATGCGTCAACAAATCACTATGAATGAAGGTATCCTATAAGTAACAATTAAGATGTCATGCATGATTGATACAGTTAATAATGTCAACAATTTACCCTAGATATACTCAACTATTTTGTTGCAGGTCAAACAGCACAATCAGGATCAGGAAGTGACTTGGGGTCAATGCATCAACAAATTACTATGAATGAAGGTATCCTATAAGTAACAATTAAGATGTCATGCATGATTGATACAGTTAATAATGTCAACAATTTACCCTAGATATACTCAACTATTTTGTTGCAGGTCAAACAGCACAATCAGGATCAGGAAGTGACTTGGGGTCAATGTATCAACAAATCACTATGAATGAAGGTATTCTATAAGTAACAATTAAGATGTCATGCATGATTGATACAGTTAATAATGTCAACAATTTACTCTAGATATACTCAACTATTTTGTTGCAGGTCAAACAGCACAATCAGGAACAGGAAGTTACTTGGGGTCAATGCATCAACAAATCACTATGAATGAAGGTATCCTATAAGTAACAATTAAGATGTCATGCATGATTGATACAGTTAATTATGTCAACAATTTACCCTAGATATACTCAACTATTTTGTTGCAGGTCAAACAGCACAATCAGGATCAGGAAGTGACTTGGGGTCAATGCGTCAACAAATCACTATGAATGAAGGTATCCTATAAGTAACAATTAAGATGTCATGCATGATTGATACAGTTAATAATGTCAACAATTTACCCTAGATGTACTCAACTATTGTGTTGCAGGTCAAACAGCACAATCAGGAACAGGAAGTGACTTGGGGTCAATGCATCAACAAATCACTATGAATGAAGGTATCCTATAAGTAACAATTAAGATATGTCATGCATGATTGATACAGTTAATAATGTCAACAATTTACCCTAGATATACTCAACTATTTTGTTGCAGGTCAAACAGCACAATCAGGATCAGGAAGTGACTTGGGGTCAATGCATCAACAAATCACTATGAATGAAGGTATCCTATAAGTAACAATTAAGATGTCATGCATGATTGATACAGTTAATTATGTCAACAATTTACCCTAGATATACTCAACTATTTTGTTGCAGGTCAAACAGCACAATCAGGATCAGGAAGTGACTTGGGGTCAATGTATCAACAAATCACTATGAATGAAGGTATGCTATAAGTAACAATTAAGATGTCATGCATGATTGATACAGTTAATAATGTCAACAATTTACTCTAGATATACTCAACTATTTTGTTGCAGGTCAAACAGCACAATCAGGATCAGGAAGTGACTTGGGGTCAATGCGTCAACAAATCACTATGAACGAAGGTATTCTATAAGTAACAATTAAGATGTCATGCATGATTGATACAGTTAATAATGTCAACAATTTACTCTAGATATACTCAACTATTTTGTTGCAGGTCAAACAGCACAATCAGGATCAGGAAGTGACTTGGGGTCAATGCATCAACAAATCACTATGAATGAAGGTACTGTACATACTGTATAACTAGTTAGCATACTGTATTATGAACATTGAGAAAAAACAGTGCACACATTAATTAACACAACATTACTAAAGTAATTTCTATTTTAGAACAACCATCAAGCCACAGCCTTCACTCGCAAACAAGTGCACAGTCGTCAATAAATAGTCCCAGGAAGACAAAATTACAAAAAACAATCAACAGGCAAAAAACCCAAATACATCGATTACGAAAACGACTTAATGCAAAGAAACAAAGTAAAATGTCAACGAAAGAGGCTATACAAACTATAGGAACAATACTACCTGCTCCCCTTGTCAAATTCATTGAGTCACAGATTGACCTTCACACAAAGAGTTCAAAACATGGCCGGAGATACAGTAATGAAACCAAAGCATTTGGACTTACCCTTTTCCATCTCAGTGGGAAGGCTTATAAAATAGTCTCAAAGCTTTTCTGTTTGCCTTCAAAATCATCTTTACTGAAGTGGGTTTCCAAATTGCCAAACTGTGCTGGTCTCACACAACCTGCTGTTGAAGTAATCTCTACCAAGGTTAAAACTATGGATGCTAAAGGAAAGCTGTGCATCATTTCATTTGACGAAATTTCCTTGAAATCAAATTTGGCATATCAATCGAATACTGATGAGTTGATTGGCCTAGAAGATTATGGTGAAGGGGACAAAACCAACTGCTTGGCAACTTCTGCTATTGTTTTTATGGCTCGTGGTGTGGTGCACAACTGGAAGCAGCCTTTGGCTTACTTTCTTGTCAATGAAGCATGCAGCAGTTTCAAAGTTAAAGAAAAATTGATTGAGATCATCGACCTTGTGGAAAATATAGGACTGCATGTTGAAGCTGTTGTCTCTGATATTGGCTCCAACTTTCAAAAGTTTGTCCGAGAAATGGGTATCACTCCTGAAAATCCCTGGTTCCTCCATAATGGAAGAAAAATTGTTTATCTCTTCGACACACCACATATAATTAAGGCAATACGGAACAATCTCATTAAATATGACTTTCATTTCGACGGAAAAGTTGCATCCTGGAAGGACTTTGAAGCTCTGTACAACATTGACTCCAAAAATTCCATCAGATGTTGCCCAAAATTAACCAGCAATCACTTGTACCCCAATGGCTTTCAAAAAATGAAAGTGAAATTTGCAACTCAGGTTTTAAGCCATACTGTTTCATCGGCAATGTTAATGGCTACTAGCGGTGGTCTTCTTCCTCCATCAGCAGTTGGGACAGCTGAACTGATTGCCCAATTGGATACAATATTCGATTGTCTAAACAGCACGTCTTTTGAATCTCCAAAGATTTACAACCATCCGCTGTCATCTCAGTCTCACCATTTCAAATTTATGGCTGATATGTGTTCCTTGGTTGGGAGACTTAAAGTTACGGAGCCAGCAACTAGATAAAATGTCACTTCCAACCTAAAGTGCTTGAAAGCTTTGCAAACCACCATAAATGGGACGTTCCAGGTGTGGAAATCTGTTCAGCCTTCAATACAGTTTCTCTGCCCCAGGCGGCTCAATCAAGATCCACTGGAAAACTTTTTTGGCTGCATTCGTCAACAGGGTGGGAATTGTGACACTCCAACCCCAATTCAATTTACTAGAGCTTTCAGAAAGCTGTTTTATGACAACTACCTGTCACCATCCAATACAAACTGTGCTGCTGATTTAGATGCCATGCTGGTTAGATGCAAAGACACCAGAAAGACAACAGAGCCTGCTGCCAGTAATGAAAGTGCTGCAACAGTTCCGTTTCAGGTTGAAGAAGTGGACTACCAACTACCATTGGTTGAACAAAACCTTATGAGGGCCAATGCCATCACGTATGTGACAGGTTATTTGTTGAGGAAATGTCTGCAGAAGCACAATTGCCAGGTGTGCTCCAAAGTCCTCAGTAATCAGAACGAACTTGACAGTTCCGATAAACTTTTTTGTTATTTCAAAGCATATGACAACAAAAAAGGCCTATATGGTGGACTTACAGTCCCCACAACCAGTCTTGTTCAATATGTAACCAATGTAGAAGACCAATTTATAAAAGCATTTCCAAACAAGATGTCCCAAACTGGTATCGGAAAAAGCCTGGTTGATGCTCTACCAAAACTCCAGGTGTCAGAGTGTAAGGAATTCCCGAGTGACTACTTGTGTAAACTATTTGTAAGAATGCGAATTTTCTATGTTCTAAAATTTGGTAACAGAGAACTTTCACTAAAGAAAGGAGGGAAGAAGAACAGGAAATACTTCAAGGTAACACACCTTTGATAACAGAATGTTCACTGTTCAGTTCAACATTTATAAAGGATAAATATCAAGTTTGTTTACTAGATGTAACATCCAGTCAATAATTCTTACATGTGCAAGAATTGACATTAGAACGCCATTAGAACTGTCTGAAAGATGGATCTCAATGAAACACCACATAAATTAAACAATAGATTGATACTTACCCACACTGCCATACCCTATCCTTTTCAGCCCAGGTATAAATACATGTAGCAGCTTGCTGTTACAATTCATAGTGGGCTAAAAAAACAATTAGGTTTTATTTTACCGTATACACATGTATAAACAAACATGGAAAATGAATGAAAATGAATAGGCAATTCCAGCTTTTAGTTTATGTGTGCAGGGGATGATGGGAAGTAAGGTATCATATTGCTGATTATGCTGAAAAATTTCAATAAAAACTGCCGAAACAACCCGAATAATATTTCAATATTTACAAGTATAAGCTGTCACTCTGTGTTTACACAGCCACCATTTTTATTTTTTCAGCATAATCAGCAATATGATACCTTACTTCCCATCAACCCCTGCACGCATAAACTAAAGGCTGGAATTGCCTATTAGATAACTTAAGATGATTACAATTTTATACATTGGGATCCTTAGTCAGAGAAATAACCACCATGACAAGAAAATATATATATATATACTGTAGCACTATAGCCGAATGAAATCCAGTATCTTAATTTACTGTTAAAATAAACATTTGAAA